GGGGGGCCGGGTCTCCGGGCCACTCCCGGGGGAAGCCTCTGCGGCAGGTGCAGTCGTCCCTGTCCCCGCTGGGGATGCGTCTTCAGGGTCCCAGTACCCAGTCTTCCGTGGAAGGAGAAGTGGACAGCCAAGGGACGGTCGCGGCAACTGTCTTGCCGCATGTGTGACGTGCCGCTCTGTCTTCCCGGCAGAAGCACCCAAGCTAGCTGTGGGTTCGAGCTGGGGCTGGATAGCAGCTCCACGGGCTGCCTGCGGGTTGGGACTGGCTCTGGTGGGATCACAGAGGCCGATTCCAGAGTCTGTCGCAGAAGAGCCCTGCCGAGGCCAGACACTGAGAGCTGGGGCGTCCTGGGAGCTCAGGAGGGGATGGAGAGCTGGCGCGCTGAGCTCCTGAGGGCACGTGTGGGCCACGGCCAGCTCCCCTGCAGTGGCAGCCCAGGGAGCTCCCACTCGTCAGTCAGGCCAAGCCTCCGGCAGCAACAGCAATGACCCGTAGCTCCTTCGCTGGGACGGGCGGTGGGCGCACCCCTGCAGGAGCCCCTCCCTGGTGTGGGCGCGCACCGCCTCCCACCTGTGCTTGCCCTCAGCATGAGGCAGAGTCACTCTGCGGGTCCTGGAGTGCCTGCCTTTGTAGCACGTGTCCCAGGCCAGCGCTGCTGTCACCAGCTCACCTGCCTGCTGCACAGCCCCCACCTCCTGTGACGACAGGTCACATAGGGGCGGGACGCATGGCTCCAGTGCTCCTGCGAGAAGCGCCTTCCTGCCCTCTCAGGTGCCACGACTGAGGCCAGGGAGTCAGACAGAAAGCAGATCGGCAAGAGGAGGCGTTTTAGTGACAGAAGCAAAAGGTGGCTCTAGGAGGCAGGGGGCAGTGGGCTTGTACCTGCACCCCGGGCTAAACTAGGGACCGGACTGGGGCTTCTGGGAGGGGAAGACCCCTGGGGACTGAGCGGTGCTGAGCAGGCAGCCGGCACTCCCTGACAGCTGTCCCTGGTGAGGTTCAGACTCTCCAGAAATGGAAGTGCCTCCCTCCGTGAGCCGTGAGCCGAAGTCTCCCTTAGAGCAGGGACGGGGCCTTGTTTCCAGGCGGGAGGTGCCGGAGAACCGTCCTGGTCGCTGCTTCTGGGTTGCCTCACAGAGGCTGGGCAGCAACACAGCACCCTTGGGTGCCAAAGCCCAGGCCTCCGGTCCGAGCCTCCCCTGGGGCGAGTGGGTGCGCCCTGGCGGTCGGGGGTCTGAAGTGCTGTCCTCGCTACACTCTGGGCTGGATCCCGGCAGCCGCACCTCCTGTCATTCCGTGTCCTTCGAAGTCCGTCACGGCAGGATGGGTGCGGGGACACCGCCGGGAAGAACGTGACTCCCAGGTCCAGATGACTCAGGGAGAGGGCGGGGTGCATCCCCGGGGCGCTGCGTCAACACCTACGCCGCTGTGCCGAGGGCCCTTCCTGGACGTGTGGTGTCACCGTCAGCACCCGCACTCCGGCCGGCCTTTGCCATGTGCGTCTGTCAGCACCGAGGGGTAAGAAGTCTGGAGAAGGCATCCCCAGCCCACTGCCAGTGCCACTAGCCACAGGCTCAGTGGCTCATGGCCACTGCAGGCTCACGCTGAGCTCTGCAGAAAGTGCCGAAGCCAAGGCCAGCCAGGGCGACTGCCTGGCAGAGGAGGCTAACTTGCCTTGGGGCCAGGAGACCCAGCCGCCAGCAGACTCTCTGGAGGACACCAGAGTGTCCCATCTGCTGGGGGGGAAGGGACACTCAGAGACACTGCGTAGGTGGACAAGGCTGTCATGAAAGAAATGAAGACTGTGTCCTTCCTAAAGGGGGAGCAGAGAGGAAGCGGAGGCCCTTCAGGCCTCTTGTCCTGTGCCTCGTGGCCAGAACTCAGGAGATACCCCTCCAGGCCACTGGGGATGTGGCTGAGAGGCAGAGCCAGAGTAAGGCCACGGGGCTGCAGGAACAGCCCTGGGAGGCGGGCCATGGGCGTGGCAGCACCTTACCCTGCCCCCACGTCACTCCTCATTCCAAAGGTTTTCCCAGAGGGAGTGTGCTCACCAGGGAGGAGTGACAGAGACATAGTGAGACATTGCCCACCGTGGGGGTGGCCACACTGCAGTCCCTTCTCCTTTCTCCTGGGATTTTGGGCCCGCACATGCACCCAGCGTGATTTTCAAGCTGCAGGTCTGGGGCTCAAACCAGTCCAGCACACACCACCACACACCTGCCGGCCCCACCACTCCTTTTAAAGGAAAACGCGGTGACACCGGTGACACCGTGAGCAGCACTGGTGGTGGTGGGGGGAGGGCGGGGAGAGCCAGGGAGAGGGCGGGAGAGTGCAGGGAGAGTGCGGAGAGAGGGGGAGGCGGGGAGAGCCAGGGAGAGAGGGCAGCTCCTTAGGAGGAGCCAGCAGGAGGTGCCTGGTCTGTCACTGTCTGCTTTGGGGCAGGGAGCCTGTACTTCCTTAAACTCTGGGGACTCCGACTTGTTCTAAAGTCTAAATCTCATCTATCTGCGGTAAGTCCGTCTGCTGAAAGCCGCAGGTACTATTACCAGGAGTGAGGTTCTGTGACCTTCCTTAGAAAGTGAGCAGCGGGTCCCTGGAGTGAAGCCTGGCCCGTGTGATTGGCTGTCACTTAGTGCAGGGTGCGATTCAGGCTTCTCCGTCAGAACCCACGTGTGGAAATGCAGCCTCTCCGGCCAGGACGGAGTGTAACAAAGTCACCTGCCGCCAGGGCTGGGCACGGACTCAGGCTGCGGGGCTCCTGTGTCTGGCCGCCGTGGAGGGTCCTGGGAACTGGCTGTCGGCTGGTGTGCAGGTGTGGGGGATGGGGCCGGTGCCCGTGCTTCCCGGAGGTCCTGTTGGCATGTCGGCCCAACCCCAAGCTCACTCCCTGCCCCGCCAGGAGTGGAGCCTGTGTGCGGTGTGCCCTCAGAGCCCGCAGGGTTAACTCAGTGCTCCTTGGTGATGGGGACAGGGACAGCTCAGCCCTCTGGAGTCCGGATGATCTGGCCCCTCTATTTTTGGAAGCTGCTCTAAGCCGCCCAGGCCAAGCGCAATCCCTCTCTCAGTGCTCAGCACCCCTGCTGCAAAGCCGCCAGCACCGGCCTTGCCCCTTCTCTGCTGGAATGGGTGGTGGGGCTCCAGGCAGGGTCAAGAGCACAGGGGTTCAAGTGGGAGGGTGCCAGGCGGGACGCCAGGCAGGAACCAGCTCCCGCTCCCTGCTCCGAGCACTTGCCCTGCTGGCCCGGTGCGAGGTCCAGGCTGTGGTGTGTCTGCACCGACCCGATCCGTTCTACCCGGGGCACAAGTCCACAGCACAGCCGCGGGCCACGTGCAGCGTGCCCACTTCCCTTGTGAGCTGGCCTCAGCCAGGCGCTGGGGCTCAGCACAGCTGTCGCAGACAAGCCCGAGGTCCAGCAGGAGCCAGGGGTTCTCGGAGAGGGTCAATGCCCATTCAAAGGAAAGGGAATGGGGGTCTTATTTTTCTTGCTTGTTGAAAAATATTTTGGCAGTTTTTTGTTTGCTTGTTTCTTAATTTGCCAGAGGGTGCATGTGATGCCGGGCAGAGAGAAAGTGAAAAAGCACCCCACGGGGAACAGCCGTGCACCCCACGGGGAACAGCCGTGCCTCAATCCCTTCTCTCTTTTGGGATCGTGGGCACGTGTACACACACCCAACATGTTTATCAAACTGCTGGGTGCAGGACTCGAACCGCATAGTCAGCCATGTAGCATCCAGCAGCCTTAACCATCATGCCGCACCTGGCCCATATTTTACTTTTATTGTGATAAAATTTACTTTTTAAAGTTGTCTTGAGAGATTTTTGCTATAGGGCACGTGTGCTAGCTGGAGAGACAGACAGTGAGAAATCCCCCCCCCCCCGGGGGGATTGGCCATGCCACAATCCCTTCTCCATTCTCCTCAGGATCTTGGGCACGCACGCACATGCACTCAGCATGAGGTTTTAAGACACCAGGCCCAGGACTCGAACTGTGGTCAACTACGGGGGAGTCCAGCAATGTAATCATTATGCCATCTGCGGGTTCCACTTTTTAAAGTTTTGAACAAGCCAAGATTGCATGCAGCAGGGCCTGGTCACGCTGCAGTGCCCTCTCCCTGTCTCCATGTCGGCAGGGTCCTGGGCACGTGTGCATCTGTGCCTGGAACCTGTCTCAGTGCATGGAGCCCAAGCCCTCAGCTGCAGGGTCTGCCGCTTTCTGGGTGTCCCAGCACAGCCCAGGGCCTGGAGTACCCCTGACACCGTGGTGGCCCTCACTGCCGCCTCTCCAGAATGCTGGGTGCCATCCCGCTGGGCTCCCCACCCCTCCTGCGGTATCTGAGGCCTGACCCTGGGGGCCTGCACGTGCAGCCACGCCATGTCTGCCTGTCTGGCCTCGCTCCGCAGCCCAGTGCCCATGGGCAGTGGTGCCAGGGCTGACACTCATGTGGACAGACATGCCGTGTGAATGGCGCACAGTGCACACCGTCGGAGTCCCTGCCTCCACCTCCGGGCTCCACATAGGCCCCGTGGGGCTTGAGCTGGTGGCATCTGGCCTCTGGAGCCCCAGGGACAACCTAGGGGTCTCACTCGGGGAGTCCCTCCCAGGAGCCCCGGCCTGTCCGTCACTTTGGCCTCCTCCTAGAAAGGGGCCTCCCAGCACAGCCATGCCTGCTACCCGCCAGGAGGGGATGGAGGGCTCTGGCCACCAGGTCGGGACATGGCACCGTGTGTGATGCCAGCGCCCGACCTCCCTCCCCACCAGATTACTACGGCCCTGCCATGCTGGGCCTGAAGACCGACCAGGAGGTCCTCGGGGAGCTGGTGAGGGCCAAGCTGCCGGCCGTGGCGGCGCTGGTGGAGGGCTGCGGCATGCAGTGGACCCTGCTCGTGTCCCGCTGGTTCATCTGCCTGTTTGTGGACGTTCTGCCGGTGGAGGTGAGCGCCTGGCCGGGACCCGGCGTGGCTGCGGGGGTGGGGGCGGGGTGAGCAGATGCTGCTTCTTGCAGACTGTGCTTCGAGTCTGGGACTGTCTGTTCAACGAGGGCTCCAAGATCCTCTTCCGAGTGGCCCTGACCTTGATCAAGCAGCACCAGGAGTTTATTCTGGAAGCCACCGACATCTCGGATCTGTGTGACAGGTTCAAACAGATCACCCGGGGGAGCTTCGTGACGGAGTGCCACACCTTCATGCAGGTGGGTGCAGGCGCCGTGCTCCTGCGGGGTGGGTGTGGTGGGTGCTCGGGCCACTTGCCGTCATGCCAGCCTCCTTGCCCGTGTGATGGCTCTCGGCCTGGCCAGGCCCCTCATCGGCCAGCGTGGCAAAGCCAGGAGCAGGCACAGGACAGAGCTACTTCCAGGGGTCCTGGGCCTAGGGTGTGATGGGGGCCACCAGGAGCTTGGCCCGCGGCCCACACCCGGCGGGGGCGGGGCAGCCACGGGGAACACTTGTTACTTGCTGCAGGACAGGACAGGGTGCCGCCTGTGTAGGTGGACACACACATTGACCCCGTGGCCACTGGGCCACCGCAGACTGGCCAGTAGACTCTTCCCTGGCCCATGTGCGGCAGAAGCTGGACTCAGCTTATCGTTTTGAGAGCAGGGAAAGGCCAGGGACCAGCAGTTAGCGTAATGGCTATGTCGCTGGACTCCCACGTAGTCGACCGCGGTTCAGACCCGGTGGCTTAAACTTATGCCGGGCACGTGTGTGTGCGTGCCTGAGATCCCGAGAGAATGGAGAAGGGATTGCGGCGTGGCCATCCCCCGAGGGTGTGTGTGTGATTTCTTGCTTTCCGTCTCTTTCTGGCGAGCACACGTGCCCTATAGCAAAAACCTCTCAAAAAAAAAAAAAAAGCAAGAGCAAGCAGGGCAAGGCTGTTGCCGAGTTGGGGACCGTCGGCTCCCAGGAGTCCTGCATCTGGGGTCCCAGGGTCAGCTACCTGCAATGGCCCGAGATTCAGGGTAGGTTTCTGCATTCTTAACATTGGTGCTTTGGGGCCGGCAGACGGCATAGCAGTTACGTCTCTGGGCTCCCACATGGCCAACCCTGGTCCAAGTCGCAGGCCCAGCGGCTTAAAGCTCATGTCAGGCACGCATGCCCAAGATCCCGGGAGAGAATGGGGAAGGGGCTGTGGTGTGGCCACCCCTGGAGGGTGATTTCTCACTTCCCCTCTCACCGTCTCTGTCTCTGTGATGAGTGAACGTGACTTAAGGAAAGAAAAAAACATTTTAAAAAATGGTGCTTTGCGCACAGGCGAGGCCAGCAGTGTGTCAGAGGTGGGGCAGGGCCTCGGCCTCGGGATGAGGTCACCGAGCAGACGACGTTGGGCCCGTTTGGCTCGCTGCGGCAGGGACCCCCCAGCTGGCTGTGCAGGTGGCATCAAGGCTGGCAGGGACCACCTCCCTTGCCCTGACTCACGCACTGCGACCTGGCCCCCACCATCTCCATAGCCTCGGCCACATCTGGACAAAAAAACCCAAAAAAAAAAAAAAAAAAAGCAAGAGCAAGCAGGGCAAGGCTGTTGCCGAGTTGGGGACCGTCGGCTCCCAGGAGTCCTGCATCTGGGGTCCCAGGGTCAGCTACCTGCAATGGCCCGAGATTCAGGGTAGGTTTCTGCATTCTTAACATTGGTGCTTTGGGGCCGGCAGACGGCATAGCAGTTACGTCTCTGGGCTCCCACATGGCCAACCCTGGTCCAAGTCGCAGGCCCAGCGGCTTAAAGCTCATGTCAGGCACGCATGCCCAAGATCCGGGGAGAGAATGGGGAAGGGGCTGTGGTGTGGCCACCCCTGGAGGGTGATTTCTCACTTCCCCTCTCACCGTCTCTGTCTCTGTGATGAGTGAACGTGACTTAAGGAAAGAAAAAAACATTTTAAAAAATGGTGCTTTGCGCACAGGCGAGGCCAGCAGTGTGTCAGAGGTGGGGCAGGGCCTCGGCCTCGGGATGAGGTCACCGAGCAGACGACGTTGGGCCCGTTTGGCTCGCTGCGGCAGGGACCCCCCAGCTGGCTGTGCAGGTGGCATCAAGGCTGGCAGGGACCACCTCCCTTGCCCTGACTCACGCACTGCGACCTGGCCCCCACCATCTCCATAGCCTCGGCCACATCTGGGATGTAATGCAAGTCTCATCTTCCTGAGGTGGCTTTTCCGGAGTGCATGTGCACTCGCCGGACGGGAGGGAGTGGGCCCAAGGACGGCCATGTCTGCAGTCCTCCCTCTCTCCCTCCCTCCCTCGGGGACTTCAGGCACACACACACTTCAGTGTCTCACGCTGCAGGGCCTGGGACTCGAACCAGCCTCCAAGTGTGCTCCAGCTGCCCGAGTGAGCAGGCCAGGGGCAGCCCTCGTCTCTGTTCGGGCCTCGTTCTGTGAACACTGGCTTCTTGGGCCGCGGCAACGCTGGCTGTGTCCTGTGCTGCGAGACAGGCCCACGTGGAGGGCTCAGGCTGAGCAGTGGCTCCGAAGGCATCAGCACCCACGTACCACGTCCCTGGGCTGCCTGAGGCTGGGGTGGGTCCCAGCAGACCTGGCCGGGAGCTGCCTGTCCCTCGCCTAGGGAAGGAATTAAGCAATCTGACACTGGCTTCTCCGCAGTCGGTCACTCTGCCCCGGCTGGGTGGGCCCGTAGACTGGAGACCCCATTTTCCTTCTCAGAGACCTCAAGTGTGGGCGAGGCAGGACGTGTTCAGACCAGGCAGCGTGGCCCAGGGTCAGGCCACCCAGTGTGCATGCGTGAGCAGTGGTGTGGGCTGTGGCGGCAGGTGTCACAGGCCCTCCACCGGCATCCTGCACCCAGCACCGCTGGGCAGTTGGCCCGAAGCCCCTCACCTGTCTCGCCACTCGCTCAGCCCAGGGAGGACGCGGCGGGCGAGGCAGGCACGAGGGAGCCCTGGAGGGCATGTCTGGACGACGCCAGGAGGGCCCAGATGGCCTCTGCCCTTGGGCTCGCGCTCCTTTACCACGTTGGCGCCAGCCTCAGCTAGATCGCCATGGCCACGGGGTCGTGCCAGAGTTGCACGGCAGACGGTCAGCGGATGGTGCGGCTCTGCCCCAGGCACCCCCCTCAGCGTGCTCCACGTAGGGCTCACCCCGTGTCCGCGGAGGGGCGTGCTGAGCGGCCGGGCTGCATGTAAGGGGCAGATGCTCTCTGGGCGTCTCCCAGCTTGACAGTGGCCGTTCCTCAGGGCCAGGCTGCGCCCTCCTTCCCTCAGCCCAGCACAGGGCCACTCTGGCACTCTGGGCCAGCCAGCATGGGGACTGGAGATGAGACCGAGTCTGTGGCCCGCTGAGCACAGTCCCGGCCTGCCACCTGTCCAGGTTCTGCAAGCTCTGGCTGTTCTGTTGGTGGTGCCGTGGGAGTGCTGGCTGGAGGCCGGGCAGTGCCGTCCTAGAGGGAGCAGGGGGCTCGTCCTCAGTCACCCGCAGCTGGCCTGACAGTGCCGCGCAGCCGAGCCAGAGCCCTGGCTCCAGGCAGAGGAGGTGGTGCCGAGTCGGGTACCCTCGTCGGCACGGGCTGTTGCACCTGTCGGCTCGCCGCCAACCACCTAGCCCTGGACGTCCTGCAGGACGACGGAGGCAGATGGCTCACCTGTCCCTCACCTGCGCGTTCCTGTTCCAGAAGATCTTCTCCGAGCCCGGCAGCCTGCCCATGACCGCCGTCACCAGGCTCCGTGAGCGCTGCAGGGCCAGGCTGCTGGCACAGGGCTGAGCCAGAACCTCGGCCCCTGCCCCCAGCCCACTCGCCACCGAGCCAGCCTTCCTCCTCAGTACCCTGGATCCGCGAGGTCACTGCACGCTCATCGCAGGGTTCTTCGAAGACTGAAAATCACAGCGTGGGACCAGCAGGTGGCTTAACAGTTGGGTCACAGCACTGACATAGCTGACCATTTCGAATCCAGACCTGGTGGTTTAAGACTTACACCAGGCGTGTGTGCATGCGTGCCCCAAAACCTGAGGAGAACGGAGAAGGGACTGGCGTGGCTGTCCCCCACTAGGGGGCGACTTCTCTCCTTCTGCCTCTTCGGTGAGCACATGAGTTGTCACCAAAACTCTTTGAAAAATAATAAAATACCGTTCTACGACTTTCCGATGATAAGCTATGAAGCTGTGATTTTCTTTAGGGGTCTGAGGGGAGAACAAGGGTAGGCCGAGGGACAGCCCTCCAGCTGGCCACCTCCATGGGCGTGGTCTCCACCCTGCACTTCGCTGTGCTTGGGGAAACTCCCTTTCCAGGGCAGTGGCCACCTGGGGCTAAGGTGGGATGCACCCCTCCTTGTAGATGTCCCCCACCACGCCCCTGCTGCCTGCACCCTGCGGCGAGGTGGGACAGTTACAGATGTCAAGAGTGACACACATGGGACCAGCAGTGGCGTAATGGCTGTGTCGCTGGACTCCCACGTAGTCGACCGCGGTTCGAGTCCTGGACCTGGTGGCTTAAACTCACGCCAGGTGCGTGTGCGTGTGTGCCCAAGATCCCGAGAAGAGAATGAAGAAGGGATTGCAGAGTGGCCACCCCCCCCCCACCGGGGTGATTTCTCACTCTCTTTCTGGGGAGCACAGGAGCCCTATAACAAAAGCCTCTCCAAAAAAAAAATAGCGACCTAAGGGAGACTCGGACAGGAAGGCCTGAAAGGGGCCCTTTGGGAGAGGCCTGAGCCTGTCAGGACAGCCCCCATCCCGACCGCTGAACCTGCCCACTGGGCAGAGCACGCTTCCGGAACAGGTGGGAAGGAGGGGCAGATGGGACACGCAGGATCAGCCTGAAGATGGCCTTCCCCGTCTTCCTGCCTGTGGCTCTGAGTTCCTGTGGGCACCTCATGGCCACCTTCCTGTCCTCTTTGTGCCAGTGCCTGGGGACAGCCTGCTGAGGGCTGGGCACAGCAGATGCAAATATGGCCACAGCACAGTGCAAGGCTTGCAGCTCGGCTCCCTGGGGATGCCTTCCAGACAGGCCTGTGCCTGCTGGGGACCACCAGCTGAACCCTCACAGGCATGCGGCCAGCACACCACGCAGACGTCCCCACCACTCCTTCCCAGGGCAGAGAGCAGCCCGCGGTCCCAGCTGGAGCCCGCCTGTCCCCCCTCACGGGACAGGAGAGCAGCCCGCCTCAGGACAGGCTGGCGCTGCGACCTTAACGCAGGTCAGCTCTGGAGGCAACCACAGGCTCCGTGCTGCCTCCTCCCGACGTTCACAGAGGCCGGGCAGCCACAGCCTCCCCAACGGCTGTCCTCTTCTGACTGCCCAGCCGAGTCCTCAAGCTCACCACCCTTGAGGAGGGGCTAGTTGTCTCCTCCATCTCTACCCTGGTCCCCTCCCTCTAGTGGGCCCACTGGCACCGCCAGGGGAGCTTGCCCAGTGACCGTGTCCACCCAGGCTCCACCCCGGGACCCCACGACGGGGGGGGGGGCGGCCTCCCCAAGGCGGCCCCCCCCGGCCCCCACACAG